TGACTTTTGAGCAATGACTTAAAGGAGGTAAGGTGAGGAGTCTGGAGGGTCCGCAGAGAGAACTTTCCTGTCCTGGTGAAGGAACAGCAAATGCAAGAACTTGGAGAGCGAGGAAGTCAGCTTTGTTCTAGTGAGAGCAGGAGTGGAGCAAAAGGGAGATGAGGTCAGGGTAGTAATGGACCATGTTGTGTCAGGGCCTGCAGGACTTGCTTTGTCCCTGTGTGTTATAGACAGCCATTGGAATAACATGACTTAGGTATGTTTTCACTTGCATTTAACTTGCTTTGACCTTAAGTTTCTCCATTTTTTGTACCCACCCCATATTTATATTCTAAATACTTTTTCTTGACAATAAGTTATTTCAACTCAAAGCTTTGGAATTGACCATCTACCCCAGCTTTTTCACATAGGGCTTCCTCTGTTGCCTCTCTTAAGACCTCCATTTCCCTGAGCCAATAACGGAGACAGCACATTTCACCATATCCCAAGTAGTCCTACTGAGTTTCCTAAGACAGCTTTTATCTATTTAGAAGGGCCCTCCTCCCTGAGGGCTCAAGCTGTTCTACTCTACCACACCTTATTCCTCTTCTTGCTATCATCTAGTTGCCTTCTAGTTATTCTCTAACATTAATTGAAGATGTTTGTCACCAGATCTTCCTCTTCTTCGAGAGAACTGCCGGGACCATGGGAAAATCCAGGGGCTGCCTGGCTGATGCCCTGCTTTGTAGTTCATTGGTCCTGTTGTCTGACCCTTTTTTTTGTTTGGTTCAGCCATCTATGCTCATAGCCACAGCTAGGGCTTCATTTTTCTCCAAGGTATTGTTCAACTCTGAAGTTTTAAACTATAAGTAGTGTGGAATGAAGTAAGGCATGAATAAATGAGTTTACATATATGGCACAGTCTCCAATCCAGCTGTTTATGTTCCTGCCTCTCACCCTCACAATACCACACATTTACCTCCAGGGGTAGCTCAGACTCTCACTCCTGAGACCAAGAAGGATAAACCGCCTCGAATCATGGATGCTCTGAGTTAGAATACTAAGGGGAAGCAGTGATGGAGTAAGGCATAATTGTTCAAATCCCATTTTTTCTGCTTCCTAACTGTGTAACACTTGGCAAGCTGCTCAAGCTCTCTGAGCCTCACCTATAAAATGAGGATTAAAAGATGTACCTCCCAGGTATATAGGAGGAATAAATGACTTCATGTAAATGGAGTACTCAGTACTGTGCTTACCAATAAAGGGAATCCAATTAGAGTTGCTTTTCTTTGAGACAAGTGAAAAGGTTAAAGGCTGCTCTTGTCTCATGGGGTGTGGCCTCATGTTTCCTTCTTATTTCAAGTAGGAATTTAAACTTTTGGAAAGCTTCTCTCTACTGGGAATTTATCCCAAAGACTTGAAAACTCATATCCGAAAAGATATTTGCACACCAATGTTCATAGCAGCTTTATTCACAGTGGCCAGGACAAGGAAGCAACCAAAGTGTCATACGGTAGATGATTGGCTAAAGCAGCTGTGGTACATATATACAATGGAATATTATTCAGCCATAAGAAGAGATGAAATTCTACCATTTGCGACAACATGAATGGACCTCGAGATAATCATGCTAAGCGAAATAAGCCAGACAGAAAAAGTTGAAATTCACATTATATCACTTACATGTGGGATATAAACCTAAAAGCAACAAATGAACAGGACAAACAAACAGAGAGTCATGGACATGGATAATAGATGACTGGTTACCAGAGGGTAGAGGGGTGGGGGGAGTGGCGAGGTAGACAGAGGAAAACAATTAAATCATTTCAATTAAAAAATAAATAAATATTTAAAAAATAAAAGATTTAGTCCCACTAAAAAAAAAAAATAGGAAAAAAGAAAAGAGAAGCTTCTGTTGTGGTATTACCACACAGCTGTGTGAACAGACCTGTTCCCTGCTCCTTTCTCTGTGATCCTACTTTGAGCCCCCAAGCCCAGCAGGACTCAGGGCTGGAGCTAAGTGGAAGAGAGCAGGAGTAGGTGGCTTTGCAAGCCTCCCTAAGCTATAAGACATTCTCCTCTTCCTTGGGTTGATTGAACAGGGAAGATATACATAATACATGTTTTTTTTCCCCCTTTTATACATACATGGCTCATTTCTGGAGATTGGCATAGAGGCAGTTATTGTTTAAGCCCTATTTAAAACAACCACAGCCTTGTATTTTCATTTATTGATCACAAAAAGGAGGGAAAAAGATAGTTTCTCTCGTAGCAGCGTGATGCCAGGTGTCTTTAAGAGGCTACAGCAGGACCAATTGCTTCTTTTACTCATTTCGAATTTATTCCTCAACCCACCACACTGTTTCTTTTCCCATCATTCCACTGGATCAGCTGGTCAGGCTCCTGAGTGAGGAACTTACTCATAAGGAGGAGGAGACCTTAACACCGAAGGGGCATGGTATGCGAATATTCAGAACCCATGCAGAAATGAGGAGATCCAACAACATACAAGGAATGGTTTTAGACAATATTTAAAAATATATGAGCTATAAAGTAAATGCAAGTATAGAAATGATTATTGCAACATAAGATATATAATTCCTTTAGAAAAAGACAAAAAGCAAAGGAAACCTTAAGAGAGCTTTTTTAAAAATCCCACTTAAACATGTTTATAGCTGTTAGATTAAAAAAGTTAGGAAAGTAAAGATAAATGATTTTAAAAATTAATTTAAAAGATGTTTAAAGTAGATACACTTGAAATAAAATAACAAAAAAGTAAAAAAGATGGACAAAATTTTATCAGGCAAACGTAAAGTAACAGGATTGCATACAATTTAGTTTTTAGTTTTTAAAAGAATCTGAGGCAAAATGCAATAAATATGTCCAAAGAGAAATTGTCTCTATATTAAATACAAAGTGCAATTAATAGTGAACATTACATGTACTTTTATATGCTAAATAATATAACACAAAATATAAAGTAAAATACCCTATGATCCAGCAGGGTTGTTTTTTTTTTCCTGAATGCATTCCAACAGAAATATATACTTTTGGTCACCAAAAATAATGTACTAGAATGTTCATAGCAGCACTTTTTATAATAGCCCCCAAATTGAAACTACTCAAATGACCAGCACCAATAGAATGGATAAATAAATTGTGAAATACTCACTTAAAGAAATATTGAACAGCAATGAAAACAAATGTTCTGCATGCAGCGATCTGCATGAATGTCACAGTCAGAATGCTGAGCGAAAGCCATCTACCACACATGAGTGAATGCTGTATGATTTCATTTATATAAAGGAAAAAAAAAAACAGAACAAGCAGAACAGAAGTAGTCTCAGAGGTTAGAAGCTGGGATAGGAGTTCCTCTTTGAGCTATGATGATAGTAAAGGAATACAAGAGGCCGGGTTATCCTGGGTTCTGGTTACAGAGGTATGCTAATTTTGTGAGAAATTTTCAAGCTGCCATTTGGTTTGTATATATTTCTTTAAATATATTTCATTTTAGTAAAAGTTTAAATGTGAAGAAAAATTATCAGAAATATTGGAGAACAATATAGAAAAATTATGTTAGAGGTTTTTAAGTATACTTCTTCAGGCTTTTTGCTTAACCGAAAAACAGATTTGGGGTAATGTAGCTTGATTGAATTCAATTTAGATTGAATTAATCTATATTGATATTATACCTTAAAACATAAATGTATGTGTATGTATATACTTAAAGTTTTTTTAACTGTTTCTCCTGTATCACACCAAAAAGAAATCCTAAAGTCCTCCAAACAGGAATTATGTAGACAATGTGACATTCTGACACTACCATGTGGTAAACTAGGCACTATTATTAATATTTTAAACAATTACAAGAATTAACCACTTGGTGTATCTCAAATAAATACTTGGCCAATGATTAAGTCAGATGACAATGAAAGATTATAATTGTTTTTTAGAAAGTAAAAGTGAGAGAAAAAATATTTTTTAAAAGTTTGTTCATATTTCTAAAGCTATATTCAGGGGTCAACGATGGTAAGTTCATAGTCTTAAATGTTTTTATTAAAAAAAAAGAAAAAATTATTTTTACTATTCAATTTAGCAAAACAAGCAAGTATAAAACAAACCTAACAGAAGTATGAGGAAGGAAGGAATAAATAAAAGCAGAAAATTAGATAATTAGAAGACAAAAGAAATCAGTAGAATCTATGGCCACGCTACCCTGAACAAGCCCGATCCCATCTGATCTCAGAAGCTAAGTGGGATTGGGCCTAGTTAGTATTTGGATGGGAGACCACGTAGGCAGACCAGGTGCTGTAGGCATAAAAAATAAAAAAATAAGGGATTGTAAGCTGACAAGGTCCTTGCAATCTGCGAGGTCAACCAAGGGTTGCCGTGCCTAAAAAAAAAAAAAAAAGGAAAAGAAAACAGAGCTGATGAATAAATCTAAGTACTTATTCCTTGAAAAGAAAAAGAAAACAACACAGCAATATGGACAGATGTAGACAGACCTCTGGTAAATGTAATTAGGAGTAAAATAACACAAACAGAAAAACCAAAAACTGAATTAGATGGAAATATTTTAAAACATAGAGTGCTTTATACCATGTTAAACTAATTTTTTTAATTGCAATGATAATAGCAAACCTGGGAAACTGTAATTATAAAGATTTAATTATGAGACTAAAACTCTAATAGATGCAGAAGTAGTGGAGGAGTTAGAAAGATTATCGGTTTATAGCTTGACCTTAGTGATTATGAATGTTTTCAGACTTGTAAAGAGGACTTTTGAGTGTGACCTGGCTCTGCCATTTGACCTTCGCCTTGTTGGGTGAATGAATGAACCAAAGAATGAGTGCTCTTGTGCCTTAGTGGGGATAAAACGGCCCTGTCAAGGGTTATAATAGACTTAAGTTGGGTAGTTTATGTGAAGTTTGAAGCATAGCAGGTGTCAGTATTATCCAATGTCTTGTATATAGGAATCAAAATATCAATGAGGAATCTTCTGATATTTACATTTTTTTCAGGTTATCCTGATCCAGAAAATTTCTCCTGGACAAAATATCTGGAAGCTACTCATAGTGGTGTTGTTCCTGCTGCATTTTATAGTTTTTAAAATGGTAAGTTTGTATCTTTATACATGCTCAACTCTTGACCACGTCCTTGTTGAGTAAGGCCTTCATTTGGCAGCTTTAAAATATTCTGTTTATTTTTTGTTTTTTGTTTTTTTTAAAAAAAATTCTAGTGTTATTTTCATAACCAGTTTGTCTTGCTTTTAATTAAAAATACAAGAGAGGTGACTCATTTACTATTGTTCCCGTACACAAATGAAACGTAAGTGATGATTTATTTCCCTCCTTGGAAAACACGGTAGCCCCACACTAGTGCTGATGAAAGCCTCTCATCACCCTCTGACGAATGAGTTCTTCATTCCCAGTTCTGTTAGTTCACTGAGTGGGCATGCTGAAGTTTCAGTCTTGAGGACTATTTTAATGTTATTGAGGCCATAATAAAATAGGGGAATTGCATATAGTCTATATGTGCCATAGTTTTATCCATTTTGAGGAAAACCTTGCTTTTAGCATTTATTAGAATACCAATTTTTTTAAAGTTCAAATTTGTCCTTATATATTTGTTTCAGGATTGATCCAAGTATAAATAATTTTGTAAAAGAAAGTGTGTTGATGGCATATTTAGAGATATTTATGTTCTAAACTAGTGATATTCAAACTCTGTTCCCTTTCAGCTGTAATGATGAGTTCTGGGCTCCCCAACTCGTCTCTAATCAGAACTTTATACAGGGAGCCTCAGCATATGATTTCATTTACTGAAAGTTTTCTAGCAATCAAAAGGGGTTTAAAACAAAATGCTATTTCATTTTTTAAGAAATTGATTATAATCAGCTAGATTTGGGGAGGGGAAGTAAAATCAAATTAAGAAGGCTTGAAGTTCTAGAGTGCTTAGAAGGGTTTTAAGAATTCTGAAAATTTCATAAGCAAAAATACCAGCTGCTGTTATAGTCTCTCTTTTTATCTTACAGTAAAAACTTCATTTTACTTTTCCAAGAGGAAAATTGAAAGAAAATAAAGTTATGAAAAGATTTAGCCAAAAAGGCAACCTTGACCCTATTTGGGTTGTTATAGGTTCACCTCAAACTATAGACACTTGACGTACACAAAATGAAACAATTACGTTTGTTGTCAGGACAGTGACCTTGGGGAGAAGAGGAAGATTTTCAGGGATTGGAGACCTAATGATAGTATACTCTGTTTAATAGATGTAATAATGCATTTTAGAAAGAAAATATGCTTCCACAAAAGCTGGAGAGAAACAAACCAGAATTGGAGAAAGAGTTAACTGTTTATTGCTTACATATTAGAAGGCTTTTATTTTCCTATTGTCCTTTCTAGACTTGAGGAATTCAAGTACACTTTTATTTTCAATAAGGTCAATTGAACATAATTTTGAAAACTTTCAAAGTGAAACTTTTTGCCAACCTATAAACAGTGTTAGAGATGTCTTTTGACTTTGATTTTGTTAAATTTACTTAATTTCAATATAAGTCCTGGTATATTTTTTTCCGCTCTATTCTTTATTATTGCTCAAGTATTCATCATTATAGACTCCTGGTTCCTAGCATTGTAAGACTTGGAAGAAACCTTAAATTAGTATAGTCCAGCATGCCTGTGTTACAGATAAAATATCAAAAGTACAGGTTATGGTTTTAAATTACATTATGGTGCGATTTTTAAATTAGTGTAACAGTAGAAATTTTGAAGCTTTTATCTAAATATATTTTAAAGTTTAGACTTATAAAACATCATGTTTACCCTTTCTAATTACTTATTAAATAATTTTGCCTTCTGGGTCACACACTCCAAAACTGGGCAGTGAGAATAGTCAACAGTTCCTTAATTTGTAAAGTTAATTTCAGAAAAAAAAATCCAAACCCATAGATAAATTGTAATAAGATATTTATTTGAGCCTTGTTGTGATTATTAATAAATTTATGATTTAATCTGTCTGTCTTTTTAACTGTCTTGAAAATGACCAGAAACTTCTTCCTTTTCTCACAGGTTTTTATGAAATTGGATAAATTAATATGTGTAAAGTCCTATGTGCTCTTAAAACTAAATTCTATTTCTACTAAAGATCTGAATATAAAAAGAGAACTATAATATTTTAGAAAAACTTTCATAGCATAACTGAATTGTTGAATTTTGCATATGACTTGCTGCACTTGTAATGTTACAGCGTTTGCCTCATGGTTTTCTGCCGAATATGAAACTTGAAGTTGTGGATAAACGAAACCCTAGGTTAATTCGCGTTGCTACGATTACAGATGTTGATGACCAAAGAATAAAGGTACGTGTTTTAGATTATTACATTATTATATTAGCATTTTCCCTCATGTTTCCTGCCATGCTGGCCACAGAGACTCTGACTTCTTGGCACAGTAGAAAAATAACACTTTGACTGACTTCATTTCTAGTCACATGTCTTTGGGTAGAGAGATTTCCGGCTGAAGTGTCTATGATGTGAGAAATCTATAGGTTAGACATAACTAACTTTGAGAGGGATTCTAGTATATTCCTGTTTTGGTTTGCTGTTTAGACATTATAAGTTTTTTCTTTCTTTTTTTTAAGCTTCTTTTTTGTCGGCATAAGAATTCCTTGAAATTGTTGTCATTTAACAGCTTATTTAGAATAATTCAGTCTTTGTTTTCTACCATTTATCAGATCAAAACCAATAAAAACACACTTCAGTCACTAGGTAAAATGAAAGATTAGATTTTGAAGATTTGATATACTGTCATTGTTATGACATGTTTTTATAAAAATATGTAAATCTTCAAAATAGAATCTTCCTAAAATGCAAGATTTTATTTTATTTTTTATACAAAGAGTAAAAAAGCATTGTAGAATTCAATAAATCTTCTTAAGCATATGATAATTCAAATGTTATTTTTCACCCTAGCACAGTTTTATTTTATAATAATAAAAAAATTGAAGTCAACTAATTTTAATGGGCATTATCAAGAAAGGTGTGTTTAAGTTCGATATACAGTTTCATATAATTTAAAAGAAATCTTATTTTCTATATGCCCACTTTGAAAACAATGTTTAATTCATATCCTAGAGAATAATCAATACATATATTTTAGTAAAATTTAGAGATGAGTGTCTGTCCATAGATTTTCAAGAGCAGATACTGGCAATGTCCATTATTCTTCTGACAAATAATCACTGTGCTAAACACTATTCAGGAATAATATGTTATAGGTATTTTCCTCATACTTTGTCACTAATGCTTTATTTTAAATTTAATTTTAAGCATATTGCTTCAATTCTTATTTATTTCTGGCTTTTTATTGTTTACTCCGACGGAACCTACTGTGGGAATAACTTCGATATTGTAATTACTTTATAAATTCAGGAATATTTTGTCACTGAAATTAGCATCAGGTTTTTTCTCTGAATTCTCATTTAACATCTATTATAAAATTATTGTACTTATAAGAAAAGTTCAATTTTAATAGTACATCAAATCTTATTTAGAATTTAATTGACAGATATTTTCTTGTAAGATACATACTATAATATCCATTTGAATGTCTGTTGCAAGACTGTTATGTTATCATATTGGATTAGCCTACCACCTTAAAATATCATTTGGAAAACTTTAGTTTCTAAAGTGAATTTATTATATTTCTTATTTTTCATCTCAGTACTGATCTCTTGACATCTCCAAGAATATAGCTGACCCTTCCAAAGAAATATTTCATGTATCTTCTCCTTATTCTTTCTTTTTCTTTAATGGTAATTCCTTTATTAGAAGAAAAGTGTTGAAAAGTACCTGGTGCCTCTGACAGAATTAGAGCCATAATTGTTGCTTCTGTGGTTTGGGCATAATAGAAATCCCTCTAGGATTATAGAGCTTAATTAAGATGTGTTTATGCAAGTGACACTCTCTAGCCTGTGAAATGGTGCTTCATAAAATGTGAAATGAGTTCCTTTTACATATCATTCAGTGCATCAGAATATATCAGTCTGGAATGGAGGTAAATGCCTTAGGGCTTGTGGCATACTCGAGGTCTCAGGAAAAGCCTTTGACCTCTTGCAGCCAGCCCATTCCTGGGAGATCCTGCCATGGACTCTCCACCTTCCCCCAGTCAGTTCTGCAGTTGGGAAAATGCTCATCTTGCTCCATGAGGTAGAGGGGAAAAGATTTTCTGTGGGCCAGCTGTTTCCTGAATAGAAACAAACTATAAAGAAGATTTAGCAGTATGGCTTAAAATTCCGCTCATCAGTGTTCCTAAGGAGAAAAAAGGCAGTGAAAATGAGTGTCATATTTTTTTCTTTGAATTCTTGTTTAAGAAGATTGAAGGTAGTAGATGGGGCTGTCTTTGCCAATTGAGAAAGCAGCTGATGCTTTCCTGGCCCTCTCTTTGCCCAGTACATTCCTCTATTCCTTTATTAATGTGTTGGTCATATTGTTTTATAATTTTCTCTTTTAAAGTCAGTATCCTTCAAAGACTATTTTTATCACTGGCACACAACACATGCTTAATATATGTGTGAATGAATGAATGAGTGAAGGAGTGAATGGCATTGAATGTACTTTGGTATCTTGTTATTTGAATGTGTGAAATAATTGTGTTAGCCAAAAAGTATTCTTTTGTCATTCTTAATTCCATTCCTAGTTACGCTCCCGTTGGAAATCCAATTCAACATAATGTACTGGAAAGTGCCATAGGATAAACTGATCTAGATTTGAATTCCAGCTCTGACTCTTTTTTATTATTAACGTGGTGGTTATTAACTTAGTGGTTACTCAACTTATTTGAGCTTTCCATATCTGTAAAGTAATAGAGTTAATAATGCCTACCTTGTTAAGCTTGTTGTGAACATCAGTGGAGTAATGTACGTAAAATACCTGTGCCTGACTCTTTCTAGGTACTTCAGTGGTAACTGCTGTTACTTATCAGTGTTAATGCCTTGTGCTGCTCTCCCTGGGGGCCTTTATTTTCTTCTGTGTTGATGTAGGGGCCTCCTGGAAGTAATTGTCATCAATAGATGGAGAAGGAACAAGCCCATGCTCCTTGGTGAACGAAGCAGAGTTTGATTGGAATTCATCTGAGGAATGCTAATATGTGCATATGTGATTGTGCGGCATGGGTGTTTATTGAGAGTAGTCAGTCTGTCAAACAACGTTATGGTATTAGTAATGATGATAGTAGTGACGATGATGGTACTTAGTTTTTTCAGATACTCTTCTAAAAGCTTTACATGCACAGTGTATCTGCACAGCACCTGTGTGACGTATGTACTATTATTATATTCATTTTATAGATGAGGAAAGAGAAGCCCAGAGATGTTGATTGGCCCAAGGTCACAAGCTAGTATATGGGGGAACCAAGTTTTAAATCCTGGCTTTCAAACAGAGGTTTTCAACTCTTAGAGTTTATAGTCTTCCTACTTCTTCTACTCTTATGTTCTAATTTTGATCATAAATATCCTGCTTCAGAATGGGAGAGCAGATGTCTAGGATGGGGAACAGAGTTCACTTGTAACCCCACCCTACTCTGTCTTTTGTTCTAAGCCGCAAATGCTTGGAGGTTTGTGTTTGGTACTGGTATTCCCTGCAGAGCACAGCAGATCCAGTAAAGACTGACTTTATTCCTTTCTGCCACTCCCCAAATATGTAATTGCCTTTATGTGCTTGATTAATTCTGTTTTTATTACAGCTTTTTTGAGGTATAATTCAAATACCATAAAATTCATTGGTTTCAAGTCTATTCCCAGAATTGTTCAACCATTACCCCAATCTAAGTTTAGAATATTTTCATTCCCCCAAAAGAAAGCCCGTACCCATTAGCAGTCATTCTTCATTCAGCACCTTCCTCCTAGCACCTGGCAATCACTAATCTACTTTGTGTCTCTATGGAGTTGGTATCATATCATATATCGTATAAATGGAATCATATAATGTGGTACCTTTTATATCTAGCTTCTTACTTAGCATAATGTTTCATCCATGTTGTGACACATATCAATACTTCATTTTTTAATTTCTGAATACTATTCCATTGTATGGGTGTACCATATTTGTTTATCCATTCATTGTTGACAGACATTTGGGTTGTTTCCACTTTATGGCTATTTTAAATAATGCTGCAATGAACATTTGTGTATGTTTTTGTATGGACATATGTTTTCATTTCTGTCGGGTATGTATCTAGGAGTGGAATTGCTGGGTCATATGGTAACTTTAACATTTTGAAGAACTACCAAAATGTTTTCCAAAGCAACTGCATCATTTTATATTCCTACCAGCAGTATATGAAGGTTCCAATTTCTCCACATCCTCACCAAGATTTGTTATTGTCTGTTTTTGTTTCTTCTAGCTATCCCAGCGGGCCTTGTGTGTTTAGATCCAAAGAATTTAAATTATTATAGTTTACATGTGACCAGTAATAATGTCTTGGCCAAGAGGAATGGGATGCAGTGACTATTAGTGATTGCAGTGGTAGAAGTAGTGTGGCAGTCTCAGAAGTCACAGAAGTAGCAGCAGTTGTGTAAGAAGACCCAATTACTGAATGTCGACTTTGTTCTGGATATTTAGCTAAGTACATTACATATTACAACTTTATCTTCACAACAATTCTTTTTTTAAATTTATTTTGTTTTGAGCTACAACTAACATAATATTAGTTTCAGGTGTACAATTTGATGATTAAATATTTGTACATATTATGAAATGATCACAATAAGTCTAGTTACACAACAAGTCTTATAGGTAGGTATTATTTCTTCTTTATAGTTGGCATGAAGAATTTAAGTAGTTTTACCAAATAGTTCTAACTCCAAAGCCAGTGCTCTCTCATTTCAGCAACTGCCTTGGAATTGTGATTAGCCATTGGAATTTGAGACTATAAATTGTCAGTGTTGGGGTATGGGGCAGAGGTAACTTGGTTCAAGATATTCTGTACTCTTGCTCTCATAAGTCCACTGGTATTAGTCAGGCCAGATGGTCTGATGTTCATACCAAAAATATTAATTTGGTTGTATTGTTCATTGGTAGGTGAGTTGTGAAGTTTTTCTTACCAGGGCAAAGTTTTAAGGTGCTATTTTCCTTTTGTGTTGATTACTGGTTTATTAATTGCCGTGGTTACTCTCTAATAAATATTTATGATGAGCTCAGTGTGTATCTTGTTCAATTTCTCACCAGCTATTACGTTTAATGGTTACTCTTTTGTTTGGTTGTATAGTATACTCTGTTATGTCTGAAAGCCCATTACTGTCACCTTATCAGGAAATGCACATTAAATTACGATAGACAGATGGATGCTTTTAGGAAGTTTA